TTTTTATATAAATTTTATAAATTTATATAAAAAATAAATGTTCCTTCATAATCCCCACATCTGCCCCCTCCCAAAAGAAGATAAGGTATGGAAAATGCATCTCATTCACTCCAGTCATGTCACAACGTCCCTGTCTACCTCTCTGTAATTATCAGGCAGGGCAGAAAGACATCATGGGCCCCTCAGACCAAAAGATCTCCCCTTCCTCACCTAAGGTGTCCTGAAAATTGTATTTTATGAAACCATTTGGAGCACTGGAGGTAGTTACCATTGATCGGACCTACTTCTATTTCTATTTGCCTTCTAACTCCAGGGAAGGAATCATTGCACTTCCATGTTGCCTATGTTCCTTAATGAGCTGGGTGAGAAAGGACAAACTAAAGTTAGTCAGCCAGTCAAACTTTATTATGGTCAAAAACCAGTATAGAATGAAACAATTAACAAACTGTTTAAAAGTAAAAGAGGAGGACCAAACACAGCTAAAAGAATAATACAGAATATTATTGTCACTATTGTTACCATTAAAATCTACGTCTCTAGGACTAAAAAAACCAGAATATTTGTTTAAAACTAAGACATAAAGCTAAAATTCTAAGATAGGTTAAAATAAAATATAGTGACATCTATCTGTCTGTCTGTCTGTCTGTCTGTCTAGTATTAGGCATGGTTATACTGTGTTGAGGGATGGGGATTAGTCAGCTTGAATCTTGTCTTACTAGCAGCATAACAGAATTTGGCAACATCCAGAAAGTAGAGTCCCTTTGAGACTCCACAATATCAAGAGAGGGAGAGTCCCTTTGAGCAGAATTTGTATGTAGAAAGTATCAGAGTGGCTTGGGTATTTCAGCAGGTAAGGGGAAATAAAACAGATTCTAATATCTGTATAAAAGCAGCAGTACAGTAAAATGTGGGCAATAGATTCTACAGTGCCTGTAGCACATGGAAATAATCGAGCAGCATGTGGAATTTTTTTGTATCTGCCTTCCAAGATGGCTGAAGGAAGAGCATTAAATCGAGCCAGTGTTGAAGCCCTTCTTAGCTTGGATGCTGTAATATTATTTAAGTATCTCGCCACTCTGAACATATAAGGTTGGCTGCTCAGGAAAATGTTCCTGGACAATAAAGCCTCATCTTGTTATCTTTCCACAACCAGAATACATTGTATTAAAATTCTCTTGGCTTGTTCTTATCCCAAACAAAGGACAGCCTCTTGTGAAAAGCCATAAAAGTGCAATTTATCCAGGAGATAAAGGGGGGGGGGTGTCAATCCTATGGGGGAAAAAATTAACTTCAGCCAGTATGTGAAAAAAATGAGCCAAATTTTTGTCTCAATCTTAATTGATCCTGTTGTGCAGTGGAGAGTAACATTAGAGACACAGCATGGTACTTGGAGATATTTCTTAAGAATTTGGATTGCACAATTTCTAATTCTGAATTATTACCATAAGGGTAAAGCTGTGTACCATATACAGTGGGGCAAAAAAGTATTTAGTCAGCCACCAATTGTGCAAGTTCTCCCACTTAAAAAGATGAGAGAGGCCTGTAATTT